CTCTCTCTCTCTCTCTCTCTCTCTCTTTCAGGCCCGCAGGAGGCCGATCCACCTGGACGGCCACAGCATGCGACTTATTCTCCCACTACCTGACAGGAGCCTCGGCTGTTATGACCATCAAGGTCTCCCTCTCCTTTTCTCTCTTCATGCTCCTTTTCTCTTTCTCCATTTCCTGTTGCTCAAATTCCAAAAACATTTCCCTCATGTCACATGTTTTAGTTTTTTTTCCCCCGTTACTCCAATATGCACCTCTTGTCTTTGTTACTATGGTGACCTAGTTTGAGTGTGTGTCTTGTCTCTTCTCGCTCGTTGTCCAGGAGTTGACGGATGAGCGTCCAGCCCCCGTCACTCTGTTCTGCTCCAACAAGATGGGACAGTTTGTCAGCATTGCAGACTTTCTGGTCAGCGAGGGCCTCGCCCTCAGGGAAAGGAAACAGAGGTCTGTGTGTGCCAAATGCATGAAGAGAGTGTGTGTGTGATTATTGTATTTACAGGTCTTTAACAACATTAGCAACCTTTGTTTTCTCTTTTCCGTGTTCAGCACTGTGCAAAGGTTTTTAGGCACTAAAAGTATAGTGAGGATCCTTTTGAAAATAAAGCCCTGAATAGTTTTTATTCATCAGTTACTGTCACTCCGTACAAAGTGTAATGAAAAGAAAAAACCTAAATCAAATCAACAGTCGGCAGCATGAGTCTTCATCGGTACGCTGGTGCCCAGTTTTTCAAGGTTGGTTGTTCCACGTATCTCGGACGACTTGCTTCAGTTCTTCTGAGGATTTAGTCCGTCTCAGTGTCTCCTGTGTCTTCATGTAATCCCAGACTGACTCCATGATGTGGAGATCAGGGCTCTGTGGGGGTCCAGACCATCTGCTGCAGGACTCTTTGTTCCTCTTGTCTTTGAACAGGGTTCTTAATGACTCTGGCTGTATGTTTGGGGTTCGTTGTCTCATGCTGCAGAATTAATTTGGGAGCGATCAGACGCATTCCTGAAACTTCTACAAAGCGCTCTTTATCTGTCTGATTCTGACTATTTCTGGAGGGTGTTACCACTCAAACATTATCCTCAGTTGCCCTCAGTTGGTATTTTTGTTTCTGTTTCTGGTACTTCGTCAGTGGCAGATTTTCAGTGTTTAATTTTAAGCAAATATTTACCCAGGTTTACCCAGAGTTTGTGTTTTTCTGTTTTGGTGCAGAGATGCTGTCATTCAGAAACCCAAAGAAACTGATGCACAGTCTCCAGTGAGCGAGACACAAACTCTTAGCCCTGCTGATGAGAAACAAGATACTCCTGATCATCCGGCGCCTTCTCCCGTTCCTTTTCCCTCCCAATCCCCCGTCCCCTCCACTCCCACCCCTCCAAAAGCAGCCCCCCGCAGCATTATGTCTGCTGAGAAGGTGATATCACACACACACACACACACACACACACACACATCCAGCGTGATACGACTGGTGTGTGTGTGTGTGTGTGTGAGAACAGGTGAAGACTCAGCTGTACAACCCCCCAGAGCTGCCGTGTCTCGGTCACATCCAGATAAATGTCTCCGCCATCGGAGAGGACGGTCTCATGTACACCAGGACACAGTATGCAGGTGCACATGAGACAACATCATCACTTGGCTAATGGAGAGATTAACTTGTTTTTATGCCTCTGCTCTAAAATCCCTGTTGTTTTTATTATCTTAACTTTGTTATTTCAATTCAGAGGAAAGTGGCAGATAAAACTGGGATATAAATAAATGGTGTCCGTGTGCTTGTGTCAGAGTCTCAGTTGGAGCAGCTTAGGGAGAGGATTCAGC